TGGGCTGTCAAGAAATGTAATATGCGGCTAGATGATGCGGGAGTTCAAAGGAAGTTGCAGTTGCAAGAGTTGGAGGAAATCAGAAATGATGCATATGAGAGCTCCAAGATTTACAAAGAGCGGACCAAAGCTTTTCACGACAAGCTAATCTCCCGGAAAGAGTTTGTGGTCGGGCAAAAGGTTTTACTTTTTCATTCACGCCTAAAACTATTTCCCGGTAAGCTTAGATTAAGGTGGGTTGGTCCTTTCTTAGTTGTTAAAGTCTATTCTCATGGAGCAGTGGATATTGAAAGCCCAAAAACGGGTAAGTCATTTAAAGTGAACGGGCATAGACTGAAACCTTTTTATGAAGGTTTTCAGTCTACGGACATTGATGTTATGGCTCTTAAGCCACTGCCCGTTATTGAGTAGTTGGGAAAGTGTCTAGCCAAAGACGTTAAAGAAAGGCGCTAATTGGGAGGCAACCCAATTTTACTGCTTTCTTTTCATTCTAGTTCAATTTTATTTTTTCTTGTGATCTTCGAATTGATGAGTCTGTTTTCCAGGTTGGCTTTCATTGGATATCAGAGTTCTAGACCCCCCCAGCGCAAAGAGACACCCACCACCAACTTGGATCATGTATTGGGCACCAGTCTATATATTCAGGGGAGTTTTCTTGTTCCATTTTGCTTTTCAGTGCTTTCGACTATGCCACAACATGCATATATTGAGGACAATATATGGTTTAAGTGTGGGGAGGGAATTAGTGCGGGGATTGCATGATTAAGGGCTCAAATTTTTGTAAATTTTTGCACAAAATTTTGAATTTGGCTTGTTTTTGGGCAATTATTAAGTAAATTGCATGAGTTGATAATTTTCTGCTTGTAATGCCATGAAAACCATAGCATGAATGAYTGTGTSRTTTGCTTGTGTAGTCATGATTAGCACATTTGAGATGACCATTGTGAGTCTTGCTAAATTTTATAGACAAAAATGCACCCGTGAGCTTTTGAGCCATGATTGAACATTRTRTTCAATCTYATTTTATTTGATGTGTGCATTGCATCTTCCATGTATATGTCATTCTAGAACTTGCATTTTGACTCTTTGAGGTTGCATTTAGGCGATACTAGTTGTGGAAATGAAAAAGGCCATCTTTGATGTTATTTTTAACCATTTAGCCAAAAAGTCAACCCTTACACTAATGTCCTTTTTGATCAACTCTTTTGAGCCTAATTACCCATTTTCTTGACTTTAACACCACAAGATAACCCTTAAGCCAAACACTTTCCTCACCGGACTTTGGAATGAGACTACATACTCTTAGTTAGGAGTATTTGTTGTTTGATCTTTATACCTTCTACACGATCCTCAACACCTATATAATGATGGTAGAGGTTTGAAAAAAAAATAGCAAAAAAAAGAGAAAAAAAAGAAGAAAAAGAAAAAGAAAAGAAAATTATATATATGTTCCATATGTGGGAATGAAAAAAAAATGAATACATGGAGGCCGAACAATGGAAGAAACACAATTGTCTCCATAATGTTTTTAGCGAATAAGAGCTAAGAGATCGAAAAATTTTGTGATCGCGCTTTGACAAGACACGAGACTCATGTTTGAGTTGTAGTTTCCTTTCCAAGGTCCAATTTTAGTCACTTAACCAAAATTTTCCCTACCTTGGCCCTTAACCAAGTTACAACCTTTACCAAAGACCTTTTGATCCACACTTAGTATTGACCATTAGCAATGGAGAATTGAGACTTGATGCAAGCTTATAGTGGTGTATGTGCATGTGAATTGATGCCAAGAGTGAAAACACCTACACCATTGTGTGAATGAGCGAGTGTATTGCATATATCCTTTGTGAGGTGTTTGTGAAATTAGCAAGTGCTCATCTTTGTTTTGTCTTGTGTGTTTATTGTTATTATACCGGTTAAATCGTGCCTTCACGAAATGTTATGTATCTCATCTTATCTATTCTCTCAAAATCAACTTATGGAGTTTGCTTTGTGCTAAATGCTTACTGTTTGTCCGAGGACGGTCAATGGTCCAAGTGTGGGGATATTTGATAAGCTTATATTTAAACATGTTTTTATAATGAATCTAGTACATATTGTAATGTTTATATAGCTTATAGAACCCCTTTAATTTAATTATTGATTGGTCTTTGATAGGTGCAAAAAGGATGRATTTTAATACAAACAGAGCATATATTTCGAAACTGTTACAAGGTCAGRCATAGTTTTMTGAAGGAATATGAGGCTGAGCATATTTATKAAATGGGTTCTGGAAAGGCATACGAATTCAAATGGCGTGAAAAGGAAGCATAGTTTCTCAAATGTTTTTATTAAAACCCATCAGCAGCAGCAGTCTAGAAGGAACAGCCCAACAGCCCAAAAAAAGGAGAACATGGGATCGGAGGCGACAATAGTTCGTGGATTCGATTCAAGAGGAGAAGACGTGGGTTTGATTGAAAGAAATCATGGGATCGATTCGATTGAAGAGGGACGTGATCGAACATAATGGGGGCGGTTCATTATAAAAGACGAAGGGGCTGTTCGATTGCAAAGGAGGACGGTCGCAAGGGAGATAGTCGCGAGGGTGGAAGAAAGCGGCAAAGGGCTGTTCGATTGGGAGGACTTCACCATCAATTTCTCATCACTTTTGGTAAATTCTTTAATTTCTTAGTTTGTTAACCCTAGATTAGT